CAGCGAGCGTCGCAGAAAAGATAGGATGGACAGCTCCAAGAAGTGATATACACGGCAGGACGGGAACACATTTGGTGGGTGACAGAAGGTGACAACATGATAACAGCTGATAAGATTCGATAAGGGGCCCTTAGAAGGCCGGGATGACCGAATTCGTAGCGCGAGCCGCAGGACCGCGATTTCAAGAAGTGATATACACGGTAGGACGGGAACATCTTTGGTGGGTGACAGGAGGTGATAACACCTGATAAGATTCGATAAGGGGCCTTAGACGCTGAGAGTCATCAAATTAGTAGCGCAGGTTGCAGCAGCTGCGGGGCCGTGATTTCAAGAAGTGATATACAGCCCTCATCATTGCGGACCGAGGGGCGCGTGTACAGTGCGGGGGGCGCGTTTGGCGCCGATTTTCGTCGTTTGCACCACGTTGTTGAAGCTGGGCACGTGGACATTACTGTATAATTATCTTTCGTATTACTCGTTTATCTTATCTATTGTTTTTGTCGCATAACGCGTTTCGACAAAAAGGCTGAGAACGGCTTCAACAGTGTGCACACTCATACTGGCGGACACGCCCCACCGGTCCGCAATGATGAGTACTGTACACGGAAGCATTGCGGACATTTCTTTGGCTGCGGTTGCAGAAGGTGATAACACCTGGTAAGATTCAGTAAGGGCCTTTCGATAGTTTTGCAGCAGCTGCGAGACCGTGATTTCATGAAGTGATATACATCGTAGGGTGGTGGCTGACAGAAGCTAAACAACTGATAAGATCCGACAAGGGACTTTGGACGCGGGTGTCATCAAATTCTTAGCGCAGGTTTGCAGCGTCCGTGGGACTTTGATTTCAAGACATGGTATAGGGGAAGGGAAGTGGACATGATTGGGTGTGAAGCAAGCTGATAACATCGTAAAAGGATCCTTAAGGGTCCTTAAATGCGGAGGGTCACCCAACTTGGTAGGGCAGGTTGCAGGGTATGTGGGATCTCGGTTCAAAGATGGTGTAGGTGGAGGGGGGGAACCCACTGACAGGTGACACTAAGTTACAGCAACTGATAAGGGTTGAAAGCGTCATCATCATGCGGGAATCCGCAACACCGCTTACTGCCACAATGCGATTGATATGACAGGTATCAGGCTCTCAGTAGTTCGTACACAACTCACTCCTATGCTCTTACCGCTATCGACATCATGTACGGCCGCTAAAGCAACTGGAGTTCAGATGCATGACGGTTGTTTACTCAGTTGCCATGAACAGCCAGTAACTGGCTCTATCACTATGACTATCTTTCATCAACAACCTGAAGAAAGGACCATTCTAAGCGTTAAACTGCCGAATGCAGGATGGGCATTCCAGAAAAAGAAACCTACAGTGGTGGAGAACGCATCAAGCGGTAGGATGCTTCAAAGGCTACTCTAACAGGTTGCTGAATTTTCGTGTGAGGGTTACGGAGATTTTTGGTACTAACTCCGAGAAAAGAATGGACAAAAGGATAGATTTCAGCGTTACATTGGGACAACGGTTACAATCCTACCATATATAATCGGCTATGTCCGTGCGTGTGCGTCTGTCTCTTATGACACGAAATTCATTAGCGCCCGTCCCAGCCAGTCAGCAGCGAAGATATTGCGCTTCAAGAAGTGACGTAGACGGGTGTGACGGGAACACTATTGGTGGGTGATAGGAAGTGATATCAGTTGATAATATCTGATAAGAGGCCTCAGAAGGGGACTCTCACCATATTCGTAATGCGGATCACAGCATCAGCCAGATGTTGATTCCAACATATGATTTGGGGTATGGAAAAGGAACATTCATTTAGGTGATCGTACGACCAATGAATTGTCAGCTGCTTGACCAAGATTGGAGGCGATCGTTTAGAGGGTATTGGTCACTGAGTCCATCACGCGAGTCACAGCAACAGTAGGGGCACGTTGGTTCCAAGATACGATGTAGGGTTTAGGAAAGGAACACTAGGTTGGTGACAAAAACTGCCCAGAATCTGATAAGATTGGATAAGGGGCGTCAGAAAGATAAGGCCACTGTTTCCATTACGGGGGGGTCGCAGAGTACATTGTCGGTTCCACAGGATGAATAGGATGTGAAATGGGTTAGGAAGGTGGGTGCTAAAAAACATAACAACTTGCATTAGGGACTGATAAGAGCGGCCTTGCTTCATAGTGTCAAGGTGTGAAATACAAAATTCCCAAAGTTTTGTTGTGAACGACAGACGTGTTGGTAATAATCATTACATTGATTACATTTTGATGAAAATCATTTTTCATCACATTTCTTACCACTTTTTACCGATTCACTGTCAAGTATTATAGGCGAAGTGTATTTTTTCTTTTGATGTCGTTAGAATTTTGGAAGTAACAAAGCGCTGTATGTTGCATGATCCTCTAGCCTGATTCAACTTTAACCCATTGCTCGAGCTATTTTCAGTTATTTTTCTACATTTTGCTGGAAAATGCACTGTGACGGTTAGGCGCATTTTGCACACTCTACCTCGCCCTACAGACTGCCTCACTCTATTCCTGCCTGGCGAAGCCAGGCCAGCCCGGCGAAGCCGGGCCGTGACAAAGAAGGAGGAGCACCCGGCGGCAGCCGGGTGATCCGACTGGTATATATATAAAGCGCTTCGTCTGTTTGTTTTTGTAAGTTTGTTTGTCTGTCCGGAAATTCGGTTCGACCTGAAGAACGACTTGGAGAGGTCGGGTCAAGGTGGGGATGGGTAGGGCATGGGACAAGAAATAAAAAGCACACTTGACCTATGGGAAGCCCCGCCCACAGTGGGCGGGGCACTCGCCGAAAGTTTGGGGTTCCGCAGAAAAATGTTCATTCGCTTCCGGAGCAGCTTAAAGATGGGGAAAAAGGGAATAAGGTTAGTAAGGAGTCGCCAGACTAACTGTGGCAGACACATCCAAAATGGGCGGGGCGTACTCAAGGTGGGCGGTGCTTCTCGCAAAATTCAGTAACCCGGTTCGCGAGTGTTTGGAAGTCGCAAAAAACTCAGTGTAGAATGTAAATATCTGGCGAATATAGGGCACGCTCAAAGTGTGTTGAGACCCGCCCACAGTGGGCGGAGCTTGCCCTAAATCGCAGGGTATTCATTTTAAAAGTTTGTAGCTCGGTTCCAGAACACTCCAGACACCGGAAAAAAGTGGACTAAGGTCAGCAGAGGGTCGCCGGTGAGGATTGTGGGGCACAAACATTGTGGGCGGGCCTGCTCCGAGGTGGGCGGAGTCAGACGAAGAATCTGTAAAATAGCTCAAGAGTACTTCAGACACCGGAAAAAAAGTGAAGTACAGAAGCGGGTTGCCGGGCCGAATCAGGAGGCGCGCCGGCGTTAGCCGGCGAGCCGACTGGTACTATACAACGCGATTCCTCTGAATTTTAGTAAGAATAATCGCAATAGTAAACGCTAGTTAATGCATAAAATTTAGGCATGTGAACTGATTGGAATGCGTTCACACTTTGCGCCAGCGTTTTGATCGTCTGCCAGCGTTTTGGCTATCCGCTAATGTTTCGAATGTTCGACAGCTTTTTTAGCGACCAGGAGAGTACAGGTATCGATTTGGCGTTATGAGGGCCTGCCAGCGTTTTCACAGCTCGAGTCTTAGATGTTGGGAACGCTGAAAGACGCTGAAAACGTCGACACTACTTTGAACGCTTTATTAGAGTGAGACCGTGAAGCGAATTATTCGATCTCAATGCTGAAGATTTACCTTGGATGTACAGGCAGAACACATGAAGCAATGTTTGTTCGCATTTGAAACATACTTCTCGCAGAATTCACAGAACCTTCAACGGGGAATTCAGAAGAATCATATCAACAAAATCAGATGCGCTCACAGATATACACTCACTTGTAACCATCCACGTTGGACAAATCGAACACATCTGGTTTCAAGTTAGTGAAGCACCTCACGGTGGTTTTCGAAGCCTTCGCAAACACTTTATGGTTGTCGTATGTCACCAAAAAAAGCGGTAATTAGCATGACCACAACAAAGGGTACCTGCCAGACTTACTCTGTAGTCGCTCATCCAGTAATTCTTACAGTTTCGTAAAACATATTTTCCAACAAACATCGGAATTATAATGCATCCATAGAACACTGCGGAGCTTTCGCCACTGGAATTTAGCGAAGTATCTCCAACTAGAAAGCTTGATAGTTCACTGGTATGATTTCAAAACACGCTTGAGGGGGAGTGAGACAGCGAGCGGGACCCTCACACCCAGTTCCCTGTCGTCTGCCGGCCTCAAGCAAACTCACTCTACGTCATCCCAATAAGGTG